AGATGTTTGTCCCAATCAGTTTGGTCTTCATTGTAGTTCTTTGCTAGGTACTGTTGCATGGTCTGATTCTACCTTTCCACCATGCCATTTCCTTGAGGATGTAGAGCTGATGTGCAAGTCTTACACATACTCAACAGCTCTCACTGAAGACTTTTCACTTTCACTCTCGACCTTGATCAGAGTGAAGTTCATCTAGAAGGCCGAAACAAATCCAAACCTAGTCTACTAACATATTTGCTACTGTCTTAGTTTCATGGTTACACAGTGCAAATGCTTCAGGTCACTTAATAAAGTAGTCCATGGCGACAACCACAAACCGATTCCTCCTAGGTGTAGCAGGAAATGGGCCAGCAGCAACTACACTCCATCAATTCATCAGTTTCCCAACATGATATATCTATAATGGGGCTCTATCTCTCTTACGAAGGCCTTAATGATGCATTGTATAGGTAGTGATGAAAATGCTTTGTAGACTCCATGGCTGTCAATAATTCCCTTCGAGTCACACAGTACTTTCTTTCTGAAGGGTAAACTTTTGACTAAAGAACGCCACAGGTTGCTCAATCTCATCTACCTGCTGTGACAACACTGCACCTTGCCCTTTGTTGCTGGCATCAGTGTCAAGTAGGAATGGTCTCCTCAGGTCAGGATATGCCAAAAAGGGGCCGTTACCAATACATTCTTGAGCTTCTGAAAGGCTTCTTGGCATTTCTGAATCCAACTCCATGACAACTTCTCTGTCAACCGATGCAGTGAAAGGCAATGGCTGCAAATTTTTTAACAAAATGGAGGTAGTAAGTACAGAGTCCAAGAAAGCTTCGTAGGTCCTACACATTCCGGGGATGTGGCCATTCCTGTACAGTTGTGACCTGTGCATCTGTTTTCACACCTTGCTCACTCACAATATTGCTAAAGTAAGATACCTCAAGTCAGAACAAGGTACATTTCTTCAGGTTCAGTTTGAGGTTTGCCCAACACAACCCTTATAAGACATCCTTCAATCTTTCCACATCTTCCTCAAACGTCTTGCCATACACAATAATGTCATCCAAATATACTTGTAATGTTTTGCGCAGGAGCCCTTCTAAAACCCACTCCATAAGGTGCTCGAATGCAGCTGGTGAATTGAAAAACCCCATTGGCATCACCCAATACTGCCAAAACCCCTGACCAAAGGTGAACGCTGTCTTCTCCTGATCCTCTGGTATTACCTCCAATTGATGAAATTCAGACTTGAGGTCTAAGGAGTAAACCACCTTGCATCAGCCAGTTTGTCTAATGTGTCATCTACATGAGCTAAGGGATAGGAATCCTTTCTGGTTACTTCATTCAGTCCCCTGTAATCGACACAACACCTGTATGACCCATCTTTCATTTTCACAAGCACAATTGCTGCTGACCAAGAACTGTTAGGCTGCTCAGTCTTCCCTTGCTCTGTCAGCTGATGTACCATTTCTTTCCTACGTGCTGCAGCGATCCTCCTGGGAGGCTGCCTTATGGGTGCGGCATCTCCTGTGTTAATGCAGTATCAAATTAAACTTGCACCCCATATCATGGTCACTTTTAGAAAATACATCTTTATTTTCAATCAACAACTTCACCAACACTTCCTTATTATCCTTAGTCAAATTCTTTCCATTTTGTTCCATCACATCTACCAAATGGTCTGGGACTGGTTTCTTTCTTTCCTGGTTCCTCGACCTGTTCATCTTCCTTAGCTTTCACTTTGCATGTTCCCACAGCCATTTTTGCCTCACTAGACTGGGACACTAATTGTCCACTAGCACAATTACCTCATTGTCTGCTCTGGACACTAAATTCCTTCCCACAATCTCTCCTACAGGCCAACATGAGGGTATACACTCAAATGGTTCAACCAAGCCATAACTTCCCACCAACTTCTGAGTTATAAACCTGACTCAACTCTTTTATCCTCCTGTGAAATAACATAAATATAGAACCTTCTTTGTAACCAAAACATCACCACCGACCTCAACCAGAAAATCGAGTCCAAGTAGGCACTGGTCTGTTAAATCTGCTGCTAGCACAGGGAGCTCTATTTCGCACCCTCCTATTTTTATAGTCACTTTCACTGGACCCTACAATGGACTGAGCTCCCCTGTAGGGCCACATAAAATATAAGGGTGCTTTGGCAAGTCCTTCTTGTAGAGTCCCTTCCTCATAAATGTTCTCACAGCACCAGTGTCCACCACTATTTCACAATGCTTTTCATCAATACTCCCTAGCACTGTCAACATCATGTTTTCTTTCCTTACCCATAGCCCTCCCCCAATGATTCATATAGGAGTGGCCTCAACTAGGGCACTGATTTTTCCTCATCCTCTTCACTGCTTTCCTCTCTCGCTCCCTGCCGTAGCTGAGCTGTAACTTTTGTCAAGGCTTGTTGGCTGCTTAACCTGTAACCTCTGGGGGAAACTGATCCACCATACCTTGGGGGTGATGTCGGTCTTGCTGGCGATAAACCCCTTACACCTCCCAG